AGGTGGAGGTGGCGGAGGAGGAGGTATCGTCGGTAACGACGAAGGGATGCTTCGCTGAGAGGGCACAGACTGTGCGGACGTCGAACACGCAGGTAACGGAGGCGGAGGAGGTATGGAGAACGAAGGCAACGACGCGGAATCATTAATAGAACGGTGGTCCAAGAAAGGTGATGGCGGAGGTGGCGGAGGAGGCGGTGGAGGCGGGCTCGAAAACGTGACCGAAACTTGCGACGCCGGAGACGCAACCGGAGAAGACAAAGACACTCGCGGTCGGTCCTGCGCTTCCTTCTCCTCCTCGCTTCCGGCCTTCGAGGAATCTGCTTCCTGAAGAACGTCATCACGAACCACGGACTTCTCCAGCGGAGATGTCGCTGCGTCTGTGTACTTCACCCTTGAACAATCCACGAGATTCCCCTCGGGGTACTCGGCCGTAGGAGACGTCTGCGTGGATCTAACCTGAGTTGTCTTGTCCGCATATTTCGCGAGCTCCCGCAGACGCTCTAACTCGCGTTTTAATGTTTCCTTTTCGGAGTCGCGGCGATCTTTCGTGGAGACGCTTTCCGAGTTTAAACTGACGGAGGCGGATCCCGTGTCTTTGCATTCTGATTGGTCTTCCTGAAACAGGAGCCGCATTTGTAGTAACATCTACCAGTAATAAAACTTTTGCAAGTAATAACGAATACAATTTTTGCATTTATTGTTTGATAATAAACGAGAAATTATTTGTGAAAACATTAGTTAACTTCTTAACGTTTTAAGAGTGTTGAGAGGTTGAATATGTGCATAAATGTGAAATTTGTATTTGGTACTGAATTTCATTAGTTCTCAAGTTCCACCGCTAGATGGCTAGTTATTTTGTGGTCCACAAAATGCAATTTTTTAAATTCTCGAGTATAAAGCTTCAACACCACTATAAAGACATTTTCCTAATTTTATTATTTTCATAGAACAATTTGTGATAATCAACATATCATAAAAATAGCTTATTTTGCGACAAATACGCAATTTTGTGTTTTGGTAGTTGCATATTTGACCACAACATGGCGCTAATATTTTCAGACAGAGCGCGCGAAAATATAAAGTTCCTACAAGAATAATGCTCCCAAAATCTTGTCAACTTCCCGAATTCATTATTTAACAATAAACTATTGTCTCTTATACCTTGTTTACGTTTTAATTAACTACAGCGCTTACGTTGTTACTATAATTTCCAACATGAAATGCAAAGATAACGTTAACTTATCTTCTGATGTAGTTCCTAGTATTATAAAATGTAAAGCGCATGTGGTACGCGTGCGATAATCAATTTTAAAAATGTTTTTTACAAATTATATTGTATGTCAGAATTAGGTAGGGTATTCCCTTGGACCGCCATTTTCTAATAGATTTGCACTCAAGTACACTTACAGTCTACAACAGTTTTTTAAAACTGTTATATCTGCTGTATACATCACAAGATAAGCTGCAAGAATTCAAAGTAACAACTACTCTTTACTTTCTTATCTGGCTGCTAGATACATGACCGTTAATTAATTGTCCGCCCTCGCTAAAAAAACGAGGAATACTCACAACTTCAGATATGTCTGTATGCAGAACTCATCTTCTGTATGAACTGTACACTACACTAAATTATAAAGACACAATCGAACAAAAAATAAAAAGTCCTACCGCAGACTCCTTGTGCGTGGCAGCATCCGTAAGTGAGCCAAGAACCCCATCCGCTACCAATTTGGAGTAGATTCTGTTAGCGAATTGTTCCAACTCAGCATCCGTGAGGGTGGACTTAAGGTGTTCCGGCAGTGCCGTTATCAGCGAATCAACGAGTCGTCGTTCTGAAAGAAGAAACCGCTTGATCGTTTTGATCATTCTGACCCAGCGATATCTAGAAAGCAAGCAAACACACGAGACAAGCAGAGAACCTATTTCACGCATCCAACGCGAGTACAAGCTTATGATAACTCCGTTCTTAGCTTCTCTACCGTTCCAAGCTTCGTCCGGCATCGAGAGTAGATTTTATCACTGGTCGCACGTCGTCAGCTCGTTTGCCAGGATTAGTTCGTAGATCGGTTCCGTGTGAAGTTTGTCATTCGAACTGAACGTCCGTGGCGTTTGTTCTCCGGCAATTCGGTGAACGATCCGCGATAAGTAACCGTTAACCTCTGACAGTGCCGAGATAATCGCGATTCGTAGAGCCATCGGAGTTGCCTCTAACGAAAATTCCTCTTCCGCTAACGAGAGCACCGCGGGACCACTGGCAATCGGGACGTGGCCTCCCTTTGACGTGCCGCGGATAACAGCCTTTCAACGCCATGTTGAAAGAGGAGGCTTTAGGATGAATTTTTTATAGGCCGTGACGAACCTCGAACGTCGAATGAGCGCTTATCATCGCTCGGTAGCGGATAGAAGTTGACTGCGGACGGGCGATGCGCGACACGTGGTGAAATCACGCCTCCCTGATAACGTTTATCATTCCTCTTATCAACGATAGGGATTTATTAATCTTGGGTGTGCATGGTAACGGTGCCAACATCTTTGCAAACTTCCTTCTTTTTACACTTCCTGGAGCCGGAGAATGTACAGGGTGTTTCATAGTTGGTCAACCACTTAACATTCGACCCTCATATACACAGTCACGTCACGTAATACACTTAGTACATATGTGTGATACAAAGCTAGTGACATTGATACAAATTGTTAATTTTATGAAACAACCTGTATACTCAGTGTTACTTGATGACTAATTTTTATAATTAATTTCCGTTGTTAACGAGATGCAATAAGTAGATATCACGTTATCAGTTAATTCTGTTTTCAAATTTTTTATCTGAAGAATTTGTGTATATTTATAGTATGTCTAAATATGTAAACATCTGCATACATGTACACAAACAAAATGTCTCCATGTATCTGCAGTACCTAAATATCTGCATACATGTACACAAACAAAATGTCTTCATGTATCTGCAGTACCTAAACATTTGCATACATGTACACAATCAAAATGTCTCCATATATCTACTATACTATCATAAGGATATACTAAGGATCATCCTTAGTATGATGTCCTCATAACTCATCAGATCATTAGCACCAGATTTGAACCGTCCTGTACATAATTTTCCAGCGTATTTTCGCATCGAGGTCACGCGTCGAAAAAAGTAGAAATATGGAAGAGACTCACCTAACGGCAGGGATATGGAATGGTCGACCTGATGAGCATTGGTCGTTGCAAAGGTGGTGGGAAGAATCAACGGCGGCGAGGTTGCATCGGTGGTTTCCGTCTTCGCAGCTTCCGCGGCGCCAGCTAATTCTTCAGGGTCGGTAAACACGCTGTCGCTCGATGATTCTTGACTCGGTGGCATCGAGATTTCCGTCACAACCAGACTCTTGTTGGCCAACCGCCAAGAATCGGTGACCAACAGCGCCGGTCCTTGTTTCTGACTTTGACTGGTTACCGGCACCAACAACGTGTTCTCTTTGTCTTTCGCTTCCGACTCAATCGCTGATCCTTCTGATCCTTCTCTAGTAACCTTCTCTTCCGGTTCTTGCGGCTTCACTGGAGTCTCGGGTTTAACTTCCGGTACCTAACACGATTTCAACCCTTTCAGACAATTTCTTAGATTGAACGTGCGTGATTCAACGTTAGTTGCGTCAGAAGATTGATTGTTATAAAAAGATGATTAATCATTCTAATAAGATGCAAGTAATGATTACGTACGTGTTCGTATTTTGTAGGAAAATGTAACAGATAATATTTATGCGAAATAGTATTTTTAAACTGGAGATGTAGGAATGTAGGGACTAAGGGTAATGAGAGTTTAGGGTCTATAAGTCTAGGGTTTGCACAGGAATCTTGGAATCTAGAATTATTTAGGGTAGGGTGCTTGGGATTTAGAGTTTGTGATATATGAATATTTGTAGAGTATTGTATGTATGTATTGTAATAGATTATTTGGAATGTAGGTATATTAGGGACGTAGCAATTTAGAGTCTAGGATGTTTGGAATATTCTGCACGCTGACATCTTGCAGTCTAGGAACCTTCAGGTGCAAGAATATCAGGGAGCTGATAATATTAGGAGTCTAGGGATATTTAGAATTTTGAGTCTGCATAGGCAATTTTGAAATATAGGGATTTTTGTTATGTTCGAATATTTGAAGTCTCCATTTGTATCTATCTATACCAAAGAAACCTAGAAACTCGTGAAATATGCGTCTAACAAAGGGTCACATTTCCATCAAAAGATGGAGCCAATTGAATACACCCCATGTTTCCGCTCCCAATAAGCTAAACCTAGGTGTCACGCTAACCCACTGACCTGTCTCTCCGCGAATCCAGGCGGTCTCGGAGCCTGTCTCTTGTGAGTGGCCCTCGCCCTCTCCTTGTGCCCAGTCTTCTTAACCGGCGTTTCCTCGGTGTCCCCGGTATCGTCCCCGGTATCGGTCGCGTCCTCCAGGCCATCCACGGAGTCGGGAGTGCCAGCGGTCCCATCATTCGCCCCGCGGCTCTTCTTGCCCTTCTTCTTGGCGTCGCTCTGCAGGTTGCCCATGGCGGCCTCCGATGCTCCCTGTTCCGCGAGACCCGTCCCACGAGAGGCGGT